ATTCTCTATTTTCTGAGCTGCTATTAGGCCAAAAAGAAGAAAAAGAAGAAGGGGGGAGGGGGAGAAGGAGGAGAAGGGAGAGGAGGGAGGGAAGGAAGAAGAAGAGGGAAAGGGAGAAGGAGAAGGAGGAAATAGGAAAGAAAAAGAAGGAAAGAAAAAAAAAAGAAAAGAAAGAGAAGAAAAAAGGAAAAAGAAAGAAGTCCAAAGTAAGGTGGGACTGATTGTAACAATTTTTAACCATTCATTCAATCATTCATTTATTTATCTTTAAGCCTATAAAGGTGTTTCCCCCTAAAGGCAGACAGTGAATATTTTATTTAAATCTTGTAGTTTCCATCGAGACAGACCTTTAACCCTTCATTCTCCAGCTCCGCCCGAGTCCCCCGCACCAGGCGATCCTCCGCGCGAGGGCTGGGACTGTATTAAGTCTCCCTCTTGGAGCTGTTTGTTGACCACATTCACGTTCAGAGCCCTGGAGCTAAAAGCACTTTACACCATAAAATAAAAGCACTGTCTTTTTTTCTAAAAGGTTACGTCTGGAGGCCACGCAGCTCATACTTCATACCGAAAACTACTGAAAGGACTATGAAATCCTCTATGATTTACACTCTCTCTCTGCATTAGGGTATAGATCTACTCGACTCTAAAAATACGGTGGGTTTCTAACCGACGTGAATATATGTGCATTATTTCAGAAAGTCTGTTAGAAAACTTGTCAACACATTATAAAGCATAAACCAGGACTTGGCTATTAAGTACGGAGATCAGAGGCAGAATATATACTGCAGGAAGTCCTGGGGAGGCTCCTCCGCGGGCAAGATAAAAAGGGGGAGGAGGGGAGAGGAGGGGGTCGTCTGTTGGCCTGGAGTTTACATTCAGTGTCGTCACCAAAGGTTTGGGAAAGGACCACGGAGCGTAATTAACAAAGGTTCCACAGCTCCAAATTAAGTTAACTGAATGGCCAGAAAATAATTTTAACGTTGTCATAATTTATTACTTTCTAAAAGCCACTTTGGGAAGGTAAATATACTTATTGTGTATCCAAGTGTGCGCTTTTAAAGTGACCTTTCACCCCTCTACAAAAGCACTTGCATCATTAATCAATACTTATGTAATATTTTTAAACCTCTTAAAACAACACATTTTTCTTTCTTTAACACACATACAAACCCTCCCCCTCCTCCCACTTTTGAGCGCTTTAGCGAGCATCCAGCGGCAATGAAGGAGGGGGCGTCACTCTGACCGGCAAGCACGAGGGACCGGCAGTGGCGGTCCGCGACGAAGAGGGATCAAATGCCAATACACAGCCCCAGGTTTTCTGGACTGGGTGAAATCAGGCTGGGGGAGGGGCGGGAGCGAAGGGCAGTTCCTATTTCACTCTGGGCATTTTATGGTGGTGAAATTAAACATATGTTAATGGTGGAAACGTCACTGCTTACCTCTCCTTTGGCACCTAGGGAAAGCAGCTGCAAAACTGGGTTTTTAATGTATGTTTTAAGATGTGGTTTCGGAAGGAACCCCCTGGAATCTGAAACAAGTGCAATAACATAGCAGACCTACTTGTAACTAAGTGCTTAATTTCCTATGATTTTTTTAAAAAAAGAAAATCAATAAAATGTTGCCAGTTATTTATTGGAAATAACAACAGATAGCGGCCCTGATAGGGTGCCGGTGTTAGAGAGCACACAATTGTGTAATGAATTGTAATTCAGAAGACTGTTAAATGTGAACCACAGAACCTTTCAGAGGTAATAAAGTCATTACTTTTTACACTACAGCCAACCCTGAAAAGCTTTATACACACCATTATATATAAATCATACATATATATTTCCACAACACACATTCACCCATTTATATACCTTCTCTATATATGGACTTTTATGGATGGATGGGGGAAATACTTAAATTTGAAAAACTCGGTTCCAAAAGAATCTGAATCACTATTGTTACCTGAAGAGGCTTTTATTTTATTTATTTATTTTTCAAAGACCTCCCAGTTGCACTTTATTCTTCTCTCTCCTCACCTTCCCTCCAACCATTCTTCTCCACACCGACCCCCTCCCGTGCAATGACACTCTTTTGGTTGCTCTGAAGCTAGTTTAAAAAGACAAAGAAGATGAAGAAGAAGAAGAAGAAGGAGAAGGAGAAGGAGAAGGAGAAGGAGAAGGAGAAGGAGAAGGAGAAGAAGAAGAAGAAGAAGAAGAAGAAGAAGAAGAAGAAGGAGAAAATGAAGCGGAGGAGGAGGTGTAGAAGGGGGAGGAGGAAGGGGAGGAGGAGGAAGGAGGAGGAGGAGAAAAGGAGGAGGACAGAAGGAGGAGGAGGAGGCAGGACAAGAAGAACAGGAAGAAGAAGAAAAAAGACAGTAGTGGGAGATGACCTGCTCTGAAGAACTCATGAAAAAGGGGAAATAGTGTAACGCACACATTACAGAGCTTTACTGCAAGTTAATCTTCCTGCTTCTTAAACAGGATTTGAGTGCCCACCCCCCAAAAAGCTGGAGAGAAACAATAACAACAAAACACATTTACGCAACCCAGTTCAGCACACATTTCTCCTAATGTTGAGCATCAAAACCTCTCTTCCTTCCTTAGTGGGGCCCGAAGCTTCGCGGAGCCAGGCAAGCCAGTCATTTTCTAACAGGTTTGAAACTTTACTAAGACAACACGAGAATAAACAGCCGCTCACCGGCGCGGCAGGGAGTGGGTGCGCGCTTGCAAGCCCGGGGCTTCATCTTAAGGCAATAAAGCCCCCAGCCAGGTGGGGAAACGACGGAAACGACGTCCCTAAGACTGAGGAGGGGGAGAGAAGACGCGAGGGGTTGTGGAGCCGCTTGGAGGAGAGGGAAGGAAGGCTCCTCGTTCTGCAGACACACACTCACACACGTCCACCTGCAGCTCGGAGTCTCGCGGACCGCAGCGACCCGCCTCCACCCTGCACCCTCCGCGCCTCCTTCAGACTTGAGTCCGTTTGCTTCTCCCCCTCCCCTGTCCTTCCTGATTTGGAATCGCAACGCGGTCTGGGTGGCTGCGGCGGCGGCGGCGGCGGCTGAGGCTACAGGGTGGCGCAGGCAGGCGGGGAGGCTGGGAGGCGGGAGACGCCGGGGGACTTTGCAGACACGTTTCTGAATAAACTTTCCAATCGCAGGGGGTGCTGTTGCTGTACATTTTACGTAAAACTGAAAGTATCCCACGCCAGAGTGAAGCCCGCTTTTTGACAGCGGCAGCGCGCGCGCGCGTGTCTCTCTCTCTCTCTCTCTCTCTCTGTGTGTGTGTGTGTGTGTGTGTGTGTGTGTGTGCGCGCGCGAGCGCGTGTGTGCATTAAAGAGACAGGAGTTTATTTCCAACAGGTCTTCTTTAATTTCCCGGGAACGTCTGTGGAAAGGCCGGAGGGGCCGGTAGGCTCCAGGGTTTGCGCCTTGGCTCTGGGCGCCGGAGCAGCGCGGCTTTGACCCAGGGCGGTCACCCCACCACCGTGGTCTCCCCAGCTGCTCCTGAGAGCCAGTCGCTCTCTCTTCATTCCCCATTTTCTTCCCCCGGGTAACAGCACAGGAATAGTTGTGCCCTGCCTGTAAGAAACATTTTTCTTTCCGTTCCTCTGTGCTTTAGCAGTTGCTTTTGAGTGGGAGGGAGTGTGTCCATCCCGGGGACCCGGCTCGAGGACCTCCCGCGGCGCCGGGAGCCCATTCCCAGGGACTGGAACTCTCGGGACTGCCGGTGCTTTGTCCTCTGGCCCGCAGCCCCTCCGTGAGGTGGACGCCTCGGCGCCTTCCTCGCCCCGGGCCGCGGCACTCCCCTCTGGGGGCTGGAACGTGTCCCCTAGTCTGGCTCCTCGTTCTTTATTCCTTGGTCTCTATCTTTGCGACCCTTGGAAGCTTCGAGTCCGTGCTCCCAGTTTCATTCAGACCCAAACGCTTGTCAGGGCGCTCAGATTCCCAGCTTCTTCCCCCCCGCCCCCGCTCGGCCTTGTGGGTGCCCTCCAGCTCTGGCCTGCGCCGCCTCCCTCGCCCTAGCCCCCTCTCTCCAGGCTGCCCCGGCACCTAGAGGCCCCGGAGCTGCCTTTCCGGGCCCGCAACCCTCCAAACTTGGGCTGGCCTCCGTTTTGCCGCGCGCTTCCTCCCGCCTCCCCTTGCCCGCTGCGGAGCAGTAACTTGGAGGCTCAGCTCTCAACTTCGGGTGATTTTTCTTTGCTATCCTCTCCTCAGGCAAAGTTTCCCGAGCGCAGCCTCCAGGCTCATGGCTTTCACTACCGCCCCGGGCGTCCGCACGCGGGGAGCGAGCGCGGCAGCCGCGCAGCGGTGAGGGGAAGTGGGTGTGCGCGCGGAGGAGGGTGTCCGGGAGCAACTCTACCTGGCTTCCCTCCGCCCGCGCTTCCCGGGACCCAGGCTGTAGACTAGCCGTACACTCAAGCCTTTTTTTTTTTTTTTTTTTTAAAGTAATCTTTCATTTTAGGGTCCGCGTCCGGGGCGGGGGGAGCAGGGCGCACGTCTCGCCTCCCCCACTCTGCTCCCCCCCCAACCCCGCCGCCCCTTTCTTCTCTCCCGGCCACGCTGCCGCCACCGCGCTAGCTGCGGCCACTGGTGAGCCCGAGGCCCCAGCGCCCCCTCCCCTCCGCCCGCCCCTCCCCCGGGGGCCGCGTCTGGCGTCTGCGGAGCCCCCCGCCCCGCACCTCCCCCGCCCCGCACTGGCCATTGGCTTGTCCTGGTCTCTTTTTCATGTCCAGCCCCTGATGTGTGTCCATTGGTGTGAGCTTCCCCTTCCCTCCTCCCCTTCTCTCCTGCTCGCCCTGCCCATGTTTTGTGTGTCTCTGTCCATCCAGACTCCTGACGTTCAAGTTCGCAGGGACGTCACGTCCGCACTTGAACTTGCAGCTCAGGGGGGCTTTTGCCATTTTTTTCATCTCTCTCTCTCTCTCTCTCTCTCCCTCTATCTCTCTCCTCTCTCTCTCTCTCTCTTTTTTTTTTTTTTTGCTTAAAAAAAAAAAAAAAGCCATGACGGCTCTCCCACAATTCATCTTCCCTGCGCCATCTTTGTATTATTTCTAATTTATTTTGGATGTCAAAAGGCACTGATGAAGATATTTTCTCTGGAGTCTCCTTCTTTCTAACCCGGCTCTCCCGATGTGAACCGAGCCGTAGTCCGCCCGCCGCCGCCGCCGCCGCCGCCGCCGCCCGCCCCGCAGCCCACCATGTCTCGCCGCAAGCAAGGCAAACCCCAGCACTTAAGCAAACGGGAATTCTCGCGTAAGTAACCCAATAATAGTAATAATAATTATTAATAATCACGAGAGCGCGCAGGACGAGAAGTAAGAGCGAGGGGGAGAGAGGGGTGTGTGCATGCATTTTTAAATTTTTTCACGAGATGAACCTCCGAGAGTCGGGATAAAAGAGCTTAAAGGGAGAAAAAACAAACAAACAAACAAACAAAAAACAAGCCTCCTCCTATCCCGAACCACAGCCGTACGTACACTTTTGGGATAGCACGCACCTTTTAATTTTTATTTAATTTACAAAAATTTGACTCCTCCTCTTTCATGCTTTCTACTGCTTTATTTCGCTTTTCGATAAGGAATGCAATGATTTCCCCTCCAATTTTGCAAAATAATGAACAATGCTATGGATGCGAACAACTCTCTTGCAAACCTAGAGGAGGGAGCTGAAGGGGAAAGGGGGGGTTGCTTGCACTCACCGAAGGAAGGAAAACGGGGCGGGAGGAGGGGGCCCAAGCCAAAAAAACAATTCCCTGGGAGAAAAGAGGTGAGACTGGCCCTCGGACAGCAGCGCGCTCACGGTCAAGTGTGCATCAGGAGGAAAGTAGTCATCTCCACAATAGTGAGAAAGTGGGATTGTGGGAGGGGGCCCCCCGGCGCTCTGGAGTCTGCTGAGTGTGGAGAGGGGCCGCGGCGGCCCGGATAGCTTGGCGACCGGGAAGGACGGGAGTCTCGGCCGGCGCTGCCGCCTTTTGTTCCGTCCCGAGGTGGGTGTTTGTCCCGCTGCCTTTTGTGCAGGCTCCTCGCGCTTGCCCTTCCGCGCCTCCGCCGCCGAAGTGCAGGAGCAAGGGCCCGGGGCGAGCGGGAGATGGAGGGAGGGCGCTCGAGCGGCCGCCGCCTGGGTTCCCGCTGCCCGCCCCTCCCCGCCGAACCTCAGTGGCGGCGAAAAGACGTGAAAAATAAGATAAAAATAAAAACAAAAATAAAACAAGGCAAGAGGATGTAAAATTTCTTGCCCCCAAACAGAAGCCAAACGCTCAGCCAGCCGTTTTCTGCGACGCTCTCCTCTTTGACTCCCCCACCCCCCCTGCAAAAATCTCAATCTCTATTAGAGTGGGGAAAATACAATTACCCCCTTCCCTAAAACCCCTTTAGTTGCAAACCTAGAGCGCCGTCGGCATGGAGAGGGAGCGAGGAACTCCCTCCTCTTACTATTTTTTGGAAGATTTTCAAAAAAAGTGGAAGTGGATTTTGATTGGGAAAAATCTCGTGTCTGAATGTTTACAAGCACCGCGTGTGCGGGAGCCTCCTGCCAACAAACAGACAGAGGACCGAGCGCGGCGCGGCAGCCCGGGAGCGGGCGGCGGCGGCGGCGGGGCCTCGCCCGGGCCTCGCCGGGCCTCGCCGCGCCCCCGCCCTGCTCGGGATCGCCCACCCCGCGCCAGCAATCGGCCAGCCCGCACAGCGGCAGGCCGAGCGGCGACTCCGCGCCAGCCGGGTCCACAGGCACTCTCGCCCCCAGCACAATGCCCAGACGTCCTCCCAGCCCACCAGACTGCGAAATCGGTTGGGGAGAAACTCAGCTTTGCGAAGCATTTTTATTTTTCAAAGCAACTGAAAAAACACTTCTGCTCCCCCTTCCCCCGCCCCCCGACGTTCTTGTCCGCAGCTCCGGACCGCAGGGAGGTCACCACGTGCTTTCCTTGCCCCGCTCCCACCGGGTCTGGCCACTACTAGCCCCGGCCTCCCGAGCTCTGCCTGGCCAGGTGTGTGTGGGGGTGGGGGGTGGAGGAGTGGGGGTTGGGGAGGTGGGCAGAGTAGTATGTGCGAGTGTGTTTTTGGGGAGTGCTGGATCTCCGTACTCCGTGCACCCCACCCTTCAGTTCCTGCCCTCTAACCCGGGCATTCTTGGTCAGGGGTGGTGGTGGTGGTGGTGGTGGCGGTGGTCCTTTTGAGCCTTTATGGGGGTGGTGGGTGGGTTACTGGGTCCTGGCTAACAGAGTGCGTCCGGAAAGGCGGGCGGTGGGCACTTAGGAAAGTTTGGCAGCCGGGGAAAGAAAGGCGTGAGAGGGCCCACATTCCTTCCCCTCCTCATTCGTGACCCTTATTTTAATTTTTGATGCGATTTAAAACCACTACCTATACGCAGTTTTGTATTTATTAAAGGGTTGGGGGGTGCGCATAAGGAGTTGAATTTTTCACTAGGCCCTGGAACTTGTCACACACTTTGGAAGCTCCCCCGCCCCGGCACGTTGCGGGGCCCTCCCTCTCCCCACCCCCGCGCATCCCTCCCTCGTCGCTCTCCCCCGCCCCCCAATCCCCCGGCCGCGCCGGATGCGGAGCAGACGCGGCGCGCGGCGGTGTGAAGTTACAGCCCGGCCAGGTACCGGCGGGAAGGAAGGGCAGTGTTCGCAGGACTCGGGAAAGCCGGGCCCTTCTTCGGAAGGATGCACTGGGGGCTCAAAGGACGAACTAAGGCGTGCAGTCCGGGCTGCTCCCCTGTCCCCCACCCACCCCGGGTCCATCTCGGAACACTCCAAGCTGGGTGGGTTTAGCCGGCCTCTCGCCTAGTCTCAGTGCGGTCTTTGGGTTAAAGGACTAGTATGGAGGGGGTGCGGGGGCCGCTTCTTTCTCATTTTCTGGGTGCGCAGAGGGGGCGGGAGCCATTCCGGTCTTCAAGACCCCCCCCCCTCCCCCCCAGTCCTCAGCTTCTTGGGCTGACTGAGCCATTCGGTCGCTAGGAGGCAGAACAAGATCAAGAAAGCTCAGCGAACTTGAACCTGTACCAGAGCCTCCCCCACTCCCTGCTCTGCGTTTCTCCGCCTGGGAGGGACGAGCTTTGCGAGGGTGGGGGTGGGGGAAACGGACGGTTAGGCAGAATTCCCTTTCTCCCCCCATCACCCCTTATGTCTTTGTTCTTCATTTTGACTTTAAAAATGCTTCTGGCCAGGGCTGCGGAGAAGCGCTGGGAGCGCGGCTGACAACCCAGTGCGCCGCGCGCTGAGTGGGGTGCAGTTTTCGCTTTGGGGGCAGGCATTTTTGGTAGGGGGGGGAAGGAGTATGCACTCTCAGCCTTCGAGGCAAGGCCAAAGGGCGGGCTCCAGCAAGTTTGCACTTAGTCTCCCGATTCACTTCTACCCCCACACCCTCGCGCAAAGCACGGACAACGGCGGCTACGGCGGGCTTTGCACAGCGGCTCTGCAGCCCGACACTTGGCTCCCCCGCCTCCTGCAGCTCTCGCCTCGGAGCCCGAAATTACAACAATAGTAATAGTTATCATCATAATGATGCGGGCTAGCAGCATCATTAATAATGAATAACCGCAGCCGCCGCCGCGCTGCGCACACTCGTGCCCGGAATTGCGGGAGAAACGCATTTGCAGAGATTCCCCCAAAGTAAAAAGTGTGAGCCTGGGGACACAGAATGAATTTCAGGGCCCGCGCTTGAGGTGTGTGTGTGGTGATACCGAGACTACACCAGGTTAACCGGCCGAGTTTCCCAAGCCTCACTTCCCATTTCTCCAACTGGCGGGGCCAGGGAACAGTGCTCACGCTGAGGCCGGGCGGGACCGCGGTGGACGCGGCAGTAGGGGCCCCTGGCTGCCGGTCGCCTCCGGCCTGGCCCGAGCCCCACGGACCGGCAGCCGCCGCTGCACGTGTTTACAGTGAGCGCTGCCGGAGACTGCAGCCACCAAGCTGCTTGCTTTGTGCCTCAGAGTCCCGACGCCCAACTTCACTTTCTGCAAAGCCCGCCCCCGCAGGGCCCCCTGCCCCGGGCCTGTCGCCCTAGCCTTCGCTTTTGTTTCTTTGCTTTTCCTCTCGGCATTTCAGACTAGGTTTGCTTCCTTACCCTGTTAAGACAATCAAAAGGAAGGACTTGGAAAGCAAACTTGAAGGCATACCTCCTTTTCCCCCTCCCATTCCCCCAGCAGCCCTCGTTTCTCTTGCTCCTTCCCTACATTTCTTCTAAAGCTTTTTTTTTTTTTCCCCCCTTCTTTAAATTTATTCCTTTACAACTGCACAGAGGAAGGAGATCTCAGTCAGCCGCTGGGGCATTGAGACGTTCCAGTCTGTTTTGCTGTTTCAACGCAGAAGCATTTTATTTTCCATTTCTTTCTCCTCTAGTAGAGAATTCGCAGCTAATTATTATGATTATTTGCCCACTCCCTTCCACTTCAATCCTGGACTCCCCGCTTTGTAGCGGGAGGTTTAGGCCGGAGCTTAGAAACGATGGTATTGTGGGGGCGAAGGAGGATGGAGTTGAATTGAGGGAGGGGGTAAAATGGCTGAGGTTAGGAATGTTTTTAGGGAAAGAGGAATTTGCATTAAAATACAGAGAAATTATCAGATGCCCAGAAAGGAAATGTTGATTACCACTGAGAAAAGATGTCAATGCAAATCAGTAGACTACACCAAGAGATTTGTATTTTCATATTTTCTTTGTGCCCCACTTCGACTCATTTTTAATAATATAGCAGCAATAATAAGAACACCTTTTGGTATTTCTCTGAACATTACTAGCCAAATGTTTTGCAAGAAGCCCGATGTTAGACATATTTCATACATTAGGATATAATTCTTGTTAATTAGCAATAATTTACGTTAAGAGCATAGAAAATGTTGAGGTTACAGGTTTTATATCTGTACATTTGATCATCTTGTTATTTTCAAGAACTTTGCCTCCTATAAAATTAATTAGGTGAAATGTGGAGGTGTAATCAGCAACCTCTGAATTACCACTTCATTTCCTGGTTTTGATTGTAAATCAGTTCAGTCACTACATTTAGAAGACTTTAACCAAGTCTGTTTGCACCGCATTACCTTTAACTATTTGATACCTAGGAGAATATTTCCTTTTGCTCCTAAATAATATTTCCACTTTCAGAAATATATCAGGCCTTGGATATTTAAAAAAAAAAAAAAAAGAATCTTAACAGTGGAGTTCAAAAAACGTTTTTTTTTTGCAAAGGTTCTACGTCGTACTAACTTTAATGAAGCAAAATATATTATCTCTGAATCTTTCTTTAATCTGTGAACCTCAGCACTTGTAATTAATGCTCAACAACAACAACAAAAGCCACATTTGTTGATGTGTACTTAAAAATCTTTAATTCAAATAGCAGGGATCTTGGAGATGATTTACCTATTCGGTTCCTCTCTTGGTCAAAATGAAAGCAAATGTAGGAGAAAAATGACATAGAAGCATAATGCAAAAGCACTTCCGTTTATCTCCTTTTATTTGAAAAGCGTGCATGTGTATTCTGTATTTATCTTTTGGTCAGTATATTGGGCAAAGAAACATAAGTGCTTACCTTGCTGTCTTTATTAGTGGGAATATAACCTTCATATTCCTGTGGTGACCTTATGTTAAATTAGTAGGAGTACCAGAGGCTAGAAATTATGACATGTCCTACTTGAGCACAGGTGCAGCTAGGCAGGGCTCTCTCAATATTATTTCACCCAGCACATCTGGGAGTTACTCCAGATCTTCCCCCTCAATATTCAGCCTGGGTAGGGTTGAAATAAATTTAACCTGAGTTCACTGGATTTTTGCACTTTATCAAAATCGGTTCCAATATTCTACACTCAAATTAAAATCTATTTTTTGATTCTCTGTGGCTTTAAGTTCATTAAATGTGAAATTGGCAGCTTGCTAAAGAAGGTCAGACTGATTAACTGTTTAAGACTTGTACATTTTCTGCTTCAGTTTTATTAACTGGCAGCATCCTGGATGTGTTTTTTATTTTGTAATTTTTTTTTTTTTTTTTTTTGGCTAGAGTAAGCATATAGTTTCAGGAGCAGAGACTTACCAACTCTCTTTTTCCCTTTGGAAGGTTAAAAAATGATAGAAGCTGTTCAAATGAGATGCTGGAGTATTTTGGTGCAAAGTTAAAAAAAAAAGGAAATAGGAATGAAAGACATATCTACCTTGTTATACTGTCCACTGGTGATTATGTGTGTAGAAATAGTCCCATAATGAAGCGTTTTGGAGCTCATTCAGAAAATTAGTCAACTTTGACAACATTAGGCGAAGTATTTCAAGTCTAAAGAAAGGACTTCTCAGCCTTGTTCTGAAATGTGGTGTTTGCTTGACCATTCTGATTTTTATGTGATGGAGGCCACCAAGTGCAAACATGTTTAGAATATTTTAGGCATTCCTTTCTTCCGAATGAAAAAATGACTAATTGGCTTATTTTCTTAAGTACTCAAAAGTATCCCATTTAGCTAATGTGTCTGAGAAGAATTGCCAGTGAATTTGGTATTTCTTTGATTTTGTGGTACTGCTGAGAGTGAGATCAGAAAGGTTTTTGGCAATATGAATTATGCTGTGTTATGATTATTATTTAGATCCGTTTCACAGGTGAATGCAGTCGTTTTCTTATTATGGCGGTGTACATGTGGAACATTTTCTGTGTGATATAGTAGCATTCTAATTTATGAAGTTATGTCTCTGTGTACTTTGGAGTATATACATTCACACACAAAGGGTACATGTATTTATCCACCTCCCCTTTTATTCTTTGGCACAATGGACAACTTAGTCTCTACGAAAAAAGAAACAAATTTGGTTTCAGTCCATGTTTTTACCAGTTTGGGGGGTAGTTATTATTTAAGCTTTCTTTATATTCCCTGCCTTAAGGATTTATTTAACAGTCAACATTGTTTCTAAACTCGCAAACCAGACACAGTTTATAGTGTGTGTGTGTGTGTGTGTGTGTGTGTGTGTGTGTGTCTTCTCAGGAGTTAGGCAAGTCAGAGAGTTTTCTTTAAGTATATGATGATTTGCCTCATTGATAAATTTGCTTTCTTGTTGATAACCTTCATATCCTTATATGTTTTAGGTGCTCATGTTTTCTGGGTATTATATGAAGGAGCCTAGAAACACTTTATATAATGTGGCGGGATGGGATGGGGTTGAGAATGTATTTCCCCTTTTTCTCTCTTCTCTGGCGCTCTAATAATTGTGCTTTTGTTTCTCCAACCACAGCCGAACCTCTTGAAGCCATTCTTACAGATGATGAACCAGACCACGGCCCTTTGGGAGCTCCAGAAGGGGACCATGACCTCCTCACGTGTGGGCAGTGCCAGATGAACTTCCCATTGGGGGACATTCTTATTTTTATCGAGCACAAACGGAAACAATGCAATGGCAGTCTCTGCTTAGAAAAAGCTGTGGATAAGCCACCTTCCCCTTCACCAATCGAGATGAAAAAAGCATCCAATCCCGTGGAGGTTGGCATCCAGGTCACGCCAGAGGATGACGATTGTTTATCAACGTCATCTAGAGGAATTTGCCCCAAACAGGAACACATAGCAGGTAAATGAGAAGCAAGGAGAAAAGCTGTTTGCATGTTTTCTTTTCATTTTCAGAGGTGCTATAGCCAAAGCACTAAGGAGTGGTGAAGTGCTTTCTGTATTTCTCCATGTGAACTGTCCATGACAGCCCTGTAATGTTAAAATAATCATTCCTATTGCTTCCATCCAGAACACAAAAAAATAAATATTTTCCACTTCACTGAGTCAGATGTAGGTGCTACACACACCTGATACCCTCTATCTGGGTCTACTGATGCTGAATTTCTCTTCCTTTTTTTCTCCCCTTCTCATTTTTAAGTGTTGAACCTTACTATGTCTGGCCCAGTTTCCACTGTCCATCTCCAGCAATGGTGACCAGTCGGAGGTGAAAGTGGCCACATAGACATTTGGTAGTTCGGCCGATGACCTCTTTGATTCAGAATACCTAGTCAGACCTCCCTAGGGGTACAGTTAGTTCTCAAGGCTTCCATGAAGTGGGGTGGGCTGGCAGGGCATTTCGGAGTGGGTAGAAGGAGTTAACTGAGCTTCAGGGCTAGCCTTGGATCCATATTGGCTGTCAGCCCATATGGGGCTGTAATTAAACACAGCCCCGTGGTGGGATGACACCGTGACCTTGACTTTAAGATGCCATTTTCGACTGGCCAGGCCAGAGTAGAGAGGGCAGTTGCTGAAGCGCACAGACATGCTTACTCGAAAAGTTTAAGGGCATGTTGGAAATTTCAAAAGGTTGGTTTGACAAGAACGGCTGCTCCCTGCATCCTGCCTCCTCAGCTAAATGATAAATGCTTCTCTGTGCTCTCTCTTGTCTCTGATGTGGTTTTGACAGATGTATCTTGATTTTGTTTGTGGTTTACACAACCACATGTCACCCTTACAAATGTCCAGTCCAGACTTCCCCTGTTTCTGCTATAACACAATGTAAAAATTCTCTTGGAAAAATACATACACATATTCAACAGCTCTCCTTCCTTCGGTTAATTTTAGCAGAGAGGTAGCTAGGTGTGTGGGTTTCTGAGCTGCTCACGGGGAAAAGGAATTAGCGGCTAACAGAGGGACTTAAATCCCTACTCTAAGTGATAAACAGCAACCCTATATAGTCACCCTTAAAACGTGTTTTTGTGAAACAACAGTGATTTAACACTCAAGACAGAGTGAATGCAGAGTATGTGGTGACAAAAATGCCAAGCCTGTTGGTGGATCCCTTTCTTCTGTTTCCCCCTGCCCCCTCCCGTAAAAGGCAGAAGGTTTGTTCAGTTTTAGGAAAGATAATGCATATAATCAATTGATTCACTGAAACTTGTCTTTCTGACCTAGTTTGACCACAGAGTTGAACTGTAGTAGGTCAGTGGTCCAGAGGGGATTAAATGTCATATTATTTCTCCTTTACCCCTCTGAATTTGATCATTAAAATCAAACGTGGCATTTTCTTTCTTTCTTTCTTCTTTTTCTTCTTCTTTTTTTAATGCTTCCTGTAATAACCCTCAGATACTTTTCGTTTAGTGAAATGAGAAATCTGTACCAGAGAAGCTGCATTTACAAAATATTTTTCTAGAATCCGCCACAGTTAGTTTATGTGACAGGTAGGTTAAGATTTCATACCCCCGCTCCCTGTTCACGCCCCCCACCCCCGCAAGTAGGAGATGGCAATGACCATTTCCATGTGCTGTCTTGTGACTGGAAGGAAAACGTAAGGCATGATTAATGAAGCAAGAGCAGGCGGAAGGGGATTTGTCGTCTTCGGAGATCCAAAGCCTTTCTAAATCACCAAATATGGAGTAACACTTGCGTGATGTAACATTGTATTTACATATCGAGCTGCTCGTTTAAAAGACAAAACACAGTGTCTGTCAAGCAGGAATTAAAACCACACTTCTTACTAAGGTCCCAAATAGGTTATTCACTCTCAGATTAACCAGCTCCAAAATTCTGTGCTTCTGTACTTAGAATAGGAATCTAAACGCTGGGGGAAAGGCACTATAGTGAAAGCTTTTTACTGTGATAGTTGTGAATCTACATAAGGAAAGAAAAGATATTTTCCTTAACTTCTGGTTGTCGTGAAGGTTTTTTTTTCTTTCTTAAAATCTAGTGCAATAGCAGAGCCTAGAGAAGCACCCCACCCTGCCAAAAACAAGAATGAAAACAAACACAAAAGAAAGAAAAAAGAAAGCAAATTTAAAATATGTTTTAGAGTGCTAATACTAAATGATTTCACTGAGATGAACAGCAGTGTAAGGTAGCTAAGATATTCAATGGGTGCACCGGCGCTGCAACCCAGGTGAGGTAAACCTTTCATGCACAAATAATTACAAAGCCTTGATTCCTTTCATTGTGTTTAATCACCTGTTCCCACCCTGGAACTGGCTGAACATAAATAGCGTGGTCACATCTCAAAGCGAGATGTCAGTAAGTAGAATCACAACTTCTCATAATTCACAGTAATGAATTAAGAGTTTCCTATGGTGAAATTAACATTCTACCATTGCACATAAATTAAGATGCCCTGGCCCTCAGGTGCCTCTGAAGGGAAGTATTGGAAGACGGCTGTGCACTATTACTAGCCCATTTCTCTCCAGCATGTCTTCCGAGTTCCAAGTCTGCTTTTCTTTTTATGGCAAGGAAGGAAACAATAAGAATAATCACTCAGTAGATATTTGAATTGTGTCACAAAAAAGAAAGGAGAAGCAGTGCTCCGTATTAGGAGAGAGATCTATTGATGAATCTCTAGAAGAATATGTTTGGCAACCACATAAAAGTAGTCATTTAAGAGCGCTGTGTAGGAAAGGCTTTATTAAAGTGATGTAAGTTGGATTTGAGCTCAGTGTGCTCTGTGCCATTTTATAGGCAGGAAGCAGGAATAAAACAGTGACAGATTTTTCTTAAGATAAATAACGCTTAGAATTTGGGGGCTTTCAAATAGGAGAATAAGGTAGAGTTCCTTAAATCCTTAGTAAAGTGATATGCATTTTGACTGGACACAGGCCTCTCCAAGATGAGTGTTTCTTTTAGAAGGGATGATTTTTACCTGGCTAATAGAAGGGGCTGGACTCTAGTACTTCTCCCCTGTACTTGCGTTAACACATCGCCATTAATCAGGTTGCTTTTTCATTTCATTCAAATATTCAAAATATTGTGTGACTGTGATCCATTGAGACCATTGCAATAGTATCCGTTTAACTGGAAATGAGCAGGTTATATTGTGGGGGGCCCAGTGCATATGTTTGTTGGTCAGATACTCACCATGAGGTATGAGCAGCCTGTGACTGGCAGTGAGGCCTTTTAATAGGGGTGTTGCTGTGTTTTCTAGTCTCCTATTTTATGATGGGGGAAATACTCATCAAAGAGTAGTGAATGGGAAACTGCTGTTCAGTTACAGAAAAGGCCAAAAATATAATCCCACAGTGTCAGATTTGAGGTTTTGGCTTATTATGCACAGAAATCTTCAAATTAGGATTGGGCTGTCATGAAGTTAGCTTTTTAAGAGAATGGGAGAAAATATGACCAGTGCTATAAATTGTAGTCAAGTCTACTGCCATTGATAAATATTATTTTTTTCTCCTTAAAATCATGAACATAGGCCTTTATATCAGGGTATTTCAAAATTATTTGTTTAGGCAATATACCTCATCACTGGATAAAAATATGTAAGACAGTTACTCTAATGGTGGGAGAAATACTAATTCAAAACAGAAATACAGCAGCATGTTACTTAAAGGTAAATCAAGTATAACATACTTACGCTTTTTAGAATCTAGCAAATCAACTTGCCTTTTCCTTTTGTACCCGTTCTAATTCTTTCCCCAGCTCAGACTGGATTTGGGGATGTATTTGTGTACCTCATGGTGTAATTGTAAATGAGACTATAAATTATAGTATCCTAGTATGACTACTTATTTTTAATTTCTCTTTATTCATGTGATTCTGAATAAAAACCACTGACTTCTGAAGTGAATTTTTAGCATGGTAGCTGAAAAAGCAAACAGCAAATAAAAAAACAAAAACAAAAAAACCCCCAATGTGCTGGTGAACATTTTACTTACCTTTTGAATCCAGAGAATAGAGAATATTGTTTCCTTATATATATCTGGGATTTTCACTGGGAGCCTGTGTTTGTGAGGCCACTACCCAAAGACTCATGTTCATGAGTCTGGGAGTCCTATATACAAGCTGTATTTGTAAATAAGACCGAGAAAGGTTGTGAACTGGCAGCTTGGATGTTTTGTCAAAGTACAATGTCAGAGAAACTCTCTCTAAGACAAATTGTAAATAGAACTGTCACAGTGATTGCATGATTGAGCCACAGAAGTGTCTTACAATTGTTGGCATTGTCAGAGGACTTTTGAAAGCTTAATTAAACACAGTGGCCCGCATGGCTGCTAAATTTGCTTCGGAAAGCCAAAAAGGAAAAAAAAAAATCTAAAATGTGGAAGATCCCAAAGGTCCCAAAGTTTTTCAGGCATTACCCTTTCGGTGACACAGAAAAGATGCATTGTGCATTTTTCTAGTTGTCTTTTATAAATAATAGTTTTGAGGATAGGGCCACGTGATATGAAGATCATCCTGTATGTGATGTAGAGATTGTGTTAGTTTTTCTGTCTCCTGCTGTTACAGACAGTTAATGTAAAAATGGCCTTTTATTGGAAACACAAATATGTATTCACTTCAAGAACAGGAGCAGAGGGGGAAAGTTTCCTTCCCATTCTCTGTGTTCATTCTGTGAAAGCTTAAAAAAACAGTACTGTAATTTCTTAAATCACCCCATTCCTTGCGTCTGCAAGTTGTGCCTTTTACTTTAAAGGATCTGAAATCTGTTTTTGCACACCTTTCTCCTTGTGAATGTGGCATTTAATTGTGGAGCTGCCCATGGGCTGGAAAATGCAACTGGGTGTAGAAACGGGCAGGCAATGTCAGGATAGCAAACCTTAAGCTCAGGGAAGAGGGGAGCTGGATGCATATTAATGGCACATTTTCGAGTCCTGGAAAATCATTAATTTCACACCGCAG